GAAAAAATATCGAACCGTGACACTAAAGTATCAAACCGAACCAAATCGTCAATTCACACTATCGTTGCTCCCCTAATATATACATACATATATATATACATACATACACATTCATTGACTTCCATTTATTTCCAGTCTTTTCTATAACCTAAACCTGACCCTTAACACCCCCAGTACATACATGACCTTAAACCTAACTTAAACTCAATACACACCTTAGTCCTAATCTGAACCCCCAACCCAAAAACAGAGTTCCAYCATATTAGGTCCGGTCTTTGGTCCCCATAAGAATTACTGGTCTTGACTAGATAGGTGTGTATTCCAGAAACAGTCCTAAAAAGGTGACAAACACACACACACACAATGGCACACACCATCTTCTTTGGGAACCACTGATACAGCGAYTGTTGCTGACATTATATTAAATCTTTGCTCTCTACACTTGAATGATCTGTCAAACTCTGTTTTTCACCCTGACTGCAGATTATTTTAGCAGATGAATGTACAGAAGCTGAGGGGAGATACTGGCACATGAAGCACTTCTGTTGTTTCGAGTGTGAGGCTGCCCTGGGGGGTCAACGCTACATCATGAGAGAGACTAGACCCTACTGCTGCTCCTGCTACGAGTCCCTGTATGCCGAGTTTTGTGATACCTGCGGAGATCACATAGGTAGTAAACTGTACAAACAGTAATTTACTGACATTCGTCTGCATTAGACTGAATTAGATGATAATAATCAGCATGGTGTGTGTAAGCATGATTTTATTTGTGTTAGGTATCGACCAGGGTCAGATGACATACGAGGGTCAGCACTGGCACGCAGTGGAGACGTGTTTCTGCTGCGCCCGCTGTCGCCTGCCTCTGCTCGGTCGTCCCTTCCTTCCACGCGGGAGGCTCATCTACTGCTCCAGGTCCTGCTCACTCGGAGAGGACCCCAATAACTCGGATTCCTGCGACTCGGCGCTGCWGGGCAAGTCCCCTCATCCCAACAAACAGTGGGAGACTTCAGAGAGACGCCGTCAGCCACCCTGTGGTTCTCCACTGCAGCCACTAGAGGGCAGCAACCCAACTACAACCCCTGCAAAGAAGTGCAGTCTGTCTGTGGTGGAAAACAAAGGTGAGTGTGAGACACTGCTGGGCAGTAGAAGTTGTTTGGGAGCGACTGAGTTTTGAAATTTCTCTTAAATTTTCTTCAGTTTTTTTTCCACCCCATTCACAGGGTTCATGCAGGGTCTTAAAAAGTCTAAAAAAAAAAAGGTCTAAATTTTGAAAATCAAAATTTTAGGCCTACAAAACTCTCAAAAACACATAGATTTTCACCCAAGGTCTTAAATGTAATTTTGTCAAGTCTTCATTTTTTTCTACTTTTGATCATTCCTGAGAAGCGTTGGCTCCATAAATAAAGAAAGCTAAGAGTCGTAATCAGAGGTTGACACGATCTGTCTTCATGAAGTGCTAAGTTTGCTACTCGTCGTGATTAAACTACAAATCCCATGATGACTGCAGGTTAAAATGGCTCTTTTTTACCTCTTTGCTGCTACAACCCCCCACATACAGTGGCTTTTTTACCTGCTCAAAAAACAGAAGTTCAGTCATGAGCACTGCTTGTTGTTTGAACATGGGAAAGTGTGTTTTCAATGAGACTTGACTTGATATCAGTAATTTTTTTCACTCGGTTGAAAGCGGTTCACAGCAGTCAGATATGACTGTTTCATTCACATAATCTAGTGTTCTTTTATTAAAATTAAATGTTCTTTAATAACTAAATTGATAGCAATAAAAGGTTTCTATAATAAAATTTCTGGGACCATTTGAATGTTTCTGTTAATGCGTCGATTTGGTCTTAAATGTCATTACTAATGGTCTTAAAAGGTCTTAAAAGGTCTTAAATTTAACTTACTGAAACATGCATGAACCCTGCATTCATTTGTTCTGCTGTCAGGGCTCCACACTCCAGTTCAGAATGGAGTTTCCTCATCTGGTGGTCATCCYTATCAGAAAGGCTCCTACTCACCTCTGCCCCACATTCATCTGGGAAATGGCTTGGGTCCGTCCTGGCCCAGCGACATTCCACATTACAACCTGCTGCCCGCGGGCTGTGGTGTCAAATGTCCAGGCAGGGACCCTCAGTTCCAGGGAGAGCTGAATGGAAATGCTGCACTAATCGGACGCAATTTGAAAGGAAACTCTGCTGAAAAAGATTGTAGAAAATGGGTGGAAAAGACAAATCAGGCGATGCAAGGTAGGAGAGCTTACTGTCAGCATGTGCAGAATAAAACCACGTACTGTCTGCTAACCACAGCTTGTTCTGACTATTCTGCAGCGTTTCCCCCTCAGATAAACTCACATGTTAATGATCTCGTTCCGTCGGACTCCCCTCCCTCCTCGTCAGACAACTCCCCCATCCTCCCACCCCCTCTCCCAGTTAAATCTCGTGACGTGACGCCCCACCATCCGGCCCCTCGGCCCCAAGCAGAGAACCAGCCTCCCGGCTCTCCACCTGCACTGGCACGCAGCGGCACAGCCCGGGTCAGCTTCAGAGAACCAATCAGCAGCAGCTACTCTGTAGAAGATGACGAGGATGAAACTGAGGAAGGGCTGCAGCCAGAAGGTGAAGAAGATAAGCAGGGTGAAGATGAGGATGATGATGATGAAGAGGAGGGAGGATTCCGAGGCAGGTTGCATGTGCAGAACAGCGTCCCACCACAGATGGATCTGCTGGGTGAGGAACGTTTTTTTTTTTTTAGCCACTTCAGTAGAAAACAGAACTGAATGTTAGTTTCTTAATTTCGTCATCATCAGTGACTTTTTTTTATTTCTCTTCTTCTTTTTCTTTTTTTTCTTTACTATAGTATAAAATAAAAAAAGGTTTTCGGGATTTTAAATGTTCCCTGGCTCACGTTTGTTCAGCTTCATGTTTATTGTTTCTGTTCTCCAACCAGACGGCGGCTCCTCATATCAGCACAGCACAAGGAGAGGATGGGGGCGGTGCCGTGTCCCTTCAGACCCCGTTCTCTACCCGGGTTTAGAGAAGCGCTCCCGAAACTCACGGCCTGACCGGCCCCGACTGGACTCCCCGGAYGTGCGAGGTGACCGAGAGAGAGACGGCCGGAGCTCCTTGAGCACGTCTTCCCTGACCCTCCAGCCGGGACAACACAAACACGATGACCTGTGCTCCACCTGCTCCTCCTCATCGGACTCAGAGGAGGAGGGCTTCTTCCTGGGACAGCGTATCCCTCTGCCTCCGCAGCTTCAAAAGCAGCAGCCTGAGGAAGTCCCGGGGTCAGAGGAGGGGAGGGAGATCCAGAGAGACYGGAGCCTGAGAGGCAGCATGAGGAGGAGTAGAGCTCTCAGCGTGGGTGCGAAGGACAAAGATAAAAACTGTGCCATCTCCTGAACGACGACAGCCTGCAGCACAAAAACACAACCTGTTGTAACTTCATGTAGAGTTCGACCGTACACGGGTGTAACAGCCATCGCTCCTGCCACACAGTCGCTGCAGGACTGTGTTTTGTTGGCATCTGGTTGTTTGAGGTCTTAGAGCAGAAAATGATGCACCTGGACTTGAATGTCCATGATGAAATGCTACTGCTCTGTTAATTAGAATGATTTATGTATGCAAACATGCTTTATCACATTTTATCAAGAGACACATTCACTAAGATAGACTTTTATCACGTCTTCAATAACCTCATTTAGGCAAACGCCACCAATGTGCAAAGCTATTAATGTGCAGCCGATACTACTGTTTCCAACATGTTATAGCACTTTTTAAAAGCACTCCCTCTCACTTCCTTTAAATATCAACATAAAGATTTCAATCTTTGGTTATTTTGCAACACAAGTTCAAACAGGAAGTATGTTTTAAACARACCTTTTCTTTTACATCATGTGATCTGTTTCCTGTAAAATCTGTCAGCTTTTGCTCTTCTTTTAAAAACTCCCTGCAATAATTCAGATAAACCAAGGATTACACAKTATTGTGATCAAAAGCAGCAGGAATTTGTATGCCACTCTGTGCTTTTCGGTGCGATCTTCACATGGCCTCATTACATTTATTGCCACAAAATGACCAGATATATAGGTTTTAGTTTGATGACACTATGATTTGTTGTGAAGTTTTATCACTAAACTTTGAGGACTGTAGTTTGGCACGACTTAAAGGACATCCTCTTTTTATATCTACAGAGTAGACTGCTGTTTTAGTTCAGTTTGAGTTAAAACAGAGTAATTGTGCTTTTCTCTGGTTGTATGTATGCTGTATATAAGTAAATATGCTTTGTCTAAATGTGTGTTTTTTGTTTTGTATTTGTGGTGGGATGAACTGAGGCAAAAGTTATAATGTTCATTAACAATGAAACCAAAGTGTATACATGCATCTCATCCCCAGAGGTGAAATGAGACATTCCTGATGTCAGAATTTGTAAGTTGAGCTTTGCTTCACCTCAAATAAAATTTACATTTAAATGTGTTCATGACTTTAATGTAATGCCAGCTATATAAATAAATATATGTATCATTAAGAATAATGTTTCAGAATGATGAATGGGTGCAAAATATTAATAAAATAGAGAAATATGATATAGAAGGAACAATATTGCAAAAAAAAAAAAAAACTGAACCAAAACCATAAAAGTGTAGCCAAAAATCTTGAAAGAAAACATAATGTTCATTTAAAATTAAATGATCTCAAGTAGATCATTTCTTACAAATTGCCGGAGAATATTTATATGAAATTACCTAAAAATGATGACTATTTCAGATTAAAAATTGCTTTGTCAGAAGAGCCCTAATGTAAATTTAGAAAACAAAACTTTTTTTGATTGCACTTAAATTAATTGAYCTCGGAGCCAAAATGTTAAAACAGTAATAAAAAAAACAATAAATGTTTAATATATTTTACAACATGGTTTAATACAGTATTAAAAGTGTAGTGTTTTGGTTACCTAAGATCTAAATCCGGATTCCTACTTGGACCTGTGAACTCCTCCTTATCGCCATGCGGAACACAAAGAGAAGAACACGTGACCCGTCGAAGCCTGATTGGGCCAGGCGGGTGGAAGGAGGCGGGGCTTGGAGCGTCGCACGAGTTGTCAAACCGGTTGGTCTCGTCTTGTCTTTGAGACGCTCTTTGCGGAAAGAGGACGTCGTTTGTCGGCTGTTTGTACTGTGAACGCACTCAGGAGCTCGTCTCAGGCTGTTCAGGTGAGCCTCAGAAACAAAAAAATAAAAAAGCGACAGGTAATAAAAGAGTTTTAATTAAACCTACACCTTCATTAAAGTGGACTGGACTTTGTCTTGTTGTGTAGGCCTTGACGCACCTCGTACCTGTTGCTCACCTGGCCTTTTGTGTCTTAGCTAGTCTTTGTGTAAATGGCTTCCTGTATCGCTCCATGTTTGCCTTTTTTAAATAAGACATGTCAGCACTTGACGTAGAAACACAATACATTAGTGGTTGTGTTTGTCTGAGACATTTCTTTAAACTCCTTCTTGTTCAGTAACTTAAAGTTAGCTGCTTTGCGTCTGTAGACCTGAAGGCAGGTGTGGAGCTAAAGTTTCATATCTCTGTCAGCAGCAGACTGGAATGGGAAATATGTGGAGCATCTGAGTGGCAGATGGAGCCGTATTTTAAACACACACTGGGTTTTTACTGGGCACAGAAGCAGAGTCACAGTGTTTGACCTCCTCCAGTTTAGAGGCTTAACCGTGATCTGTTGAGCTCTTTGTTTTTGTTTTCATTGATCCCACTGAGGTTAGTGGTTCAGGGAGTGAAGGCCACTGCAAAACCCTGGCAACAGCCTGCCTGATTTAAAGATGAAGAGTCATTGTTCCCACAGCAGCTGGTGTGTGTGTGTGTGTGTGTGTGTGTGTGTGTGTGTGTGTGTGTGTGTGTGTG